AATAAATATTCTGGGGGAGGCAAAGTTGTGTAAACATATAGATTCTCTCTATACCGTGCTTCTTTTATTTATTTGGGAAGAAAACATCAATTATCTTATATGTTGCAAAATCTGGGGGTTACAAACCAAGGTCTGGGGGAACACTTCCCCCTTGCGTAATAGCAAATTACACCATACACGTTAGCTGTACTGTCATCTAATAACACACATTTATGTCAAAACAAAATAACCTTAAGGATCATTCTAATATTCTTAAAGTAGTGTTAAGTGCACAGATATTGTGTCCCTGTTTATTTTCCCTCGTTAGTCCGATCTCCCATTACGGCCCCCCAGTGGCACAGCGGTATATCTGCGGACTTACAACGCTAGAAACCTGGTTTCTATACCCGTGGAGGACATAGCCCAGATAGCCCATTGTGTGGCTTTGTGCTTAATTTCAAACAAACAAAATCTCCCACTACGAAAACAAATAGTACTGTTTGTTGAAGAATGAAATAAATAATTTTCCCTTCATCTCCAGCAATTATAGCCTTATAAACTGAACAGCTCCCCAGTGGCACAGCGGTATGTCTGCGGACTTAAAATGCTAGAAATCGGGTTTCGATACAGATAGTCCATTGTGTAGCTTTGTGCTTAACTTCAAACAACAACATATTAAACTCAATTATTTACCGCCATCTATGACCAAAGAATTAAGTTAACATAAAACTTTTTGACATTGTATCTCATAAGAACCAAGAGACATTATATATTACGCTTTACCTAATTTAATATTTTCAGGCTATGTAAATACTATATACATCATATCATGCAAGCAAGAGATTATTCAATTAATTGCTAGTGGGTATAACTTTGTCTTACCTTGTAGAGCAATTGCTTGGTATGGGAGAGGCTTTGGATTCAATTCCAAATTTAGGAAATGTAAAATTGAAATTAGCACAAAAGCTTGTGTAAATCACATACTTTTTTATTTAGGTAAGAATTATAAATTACACTATACGTAATGAGAAACATTGTTTTATTTACATCAAGTTTAAAAATTACAGAGATTTATTATTATTTTGATAAGAGATGTGCTAATTACATTGCATATAAACGGAGGGTATTATTCTAGGGGTTCGAGGATTGTCTTATATTTGACGAGTTACTAGAGAGAGAAAACTTCCAATTAGGTAAGTTCTGAAGTGCAAACATCTTCTTCCAAAACAAAAACAAAGTAATTCTTGCGAGTAAAAAAATTACATCATTACAAAGAAGAACTTTAAAAGTTTCTTGTTATACACTGTTAAATATTTTTATGAAGTGGTCTGAATACTCGTAAAAGTCACAAAATATATCAAGCTCAACTACTTTTAAGCAATAAATCTATCCATACTATTTTAATTACACTACTAGAAATTAGTAATAAGTTTTTTATTTTATGTCCGAAGTTTGTAATAAGCTCCCAGGTGTAATCATTGTATAAGTAAAACAAGTAACTTATGTATGTATGTATATATATATATATCGTGATCATGAATTTAAAATATATTTTAATTTTAGTTATAAATTTAAATTCATAAGCACAGTTTTCTTTATTGTTACAATTCATAAAACAATAACCAGGTGATATAAGATACTTCATTAACAGAAAATAATTATCTCAGGAAATGAAGAATTAATCCAACTGATTATGCAACTGTATTATGTCAAGAGAGAAACTTATAACAGTTTTTCGACTTTTTTTTTCTTTTAAAGCTAGGGTATTGCCAGAGTTTACTCTTTACAGGACTCCTGATGCTGAAGCTATATGTGACCTTGCAATGTACAACTATGTGGAGGTAACTGAATAAAATATAAAATTTACTATATAACCATCATATACAGGATGAGGCGATATTGTTTCATTTAAAACATATTTTAATTTCCAAGTCTGACTTTGAAACAAACAATGATAAAGCTGGTTTCAATCATCTTCATAATACCTACTTTAGTACCAACTGTGTAGTAATTTTTACCTCACCTTGTATAACTGTGTATAATTGGATATTAAAATCATATACATCATTTGCCATGTATTATTTAGAGCTCAGTATTTATATTTTGATATTTATATACAACTGCTAAGTACCAGAAAGAAGTTTATGTACATTTGGACTTTTTGTATATAAGATGATCCATAATAAATACATTTTAGAAACACCTCTGTAGAATATCGTTAAATGAAGTTCATGTTATTTTCTGCTGTACCTAATAACCAGTGTGGATAAAAACTTATATTGTTTACGCAAATGTCACACAAAGAGAGGTGTTTTCTACTCCTTTTAACTTTTACAAGTCAGTGAAAAAACCTAAAATGACATCTAATCTTAACCTTTATTAATATTAAATTGAATAGTTCATTTAAGAATTAGTATTATTGCATAATCAGATGTATTGAAAATATTAAGTGAATATGTGTTGTTTTTTTTACTGTTGCCTGTATAAATTACTCCACAAGATGAGACATCTAGTAAATTCCAAGTCATTTCTCCTGAGAAAGAAGTGTGACAAATTCCTTAATCTCATTTTTGCTGATTCATGGATTCCTCTATATACGATGGTAAGAATGAATCATTTGCACCATTACTAAAGCATCAGTTTCTGGTTTATGCTTTCATTACACCTGTGCTAAATTATCTTAATACTATTATTTTAAGTGACTTCAGTGATGAAAGTACACTATTCATTATAACTTCTAGGTTTTGGTTAATTACTTGATTATTAAAAGTGTGTCTATCAAAAACATGACATCATTATCATAGTTTCTGTTTTCTTAAAATAATTTATCTGTTTTGTATGTTTCTTTCAAAAAGGACTTCTTGCATATGAATGAAGTACTAAAATGTTTATTCTGAATATTTGAAAATATGCTGTGAAACAGTAAAATATTTTTATGTAATAAGATAGATATTTTAGTAATCAAGCAAACACTGTCCTTAAATGTATTAGTATCTTGAAACATGAAGCATTTGAAAGAAATCTTTGTTAAATATAATGTCTCCAAAATTAGATGGGTGTTCTTGTTTCTATGCAGGTTACATTTTCAAAGAAAAGGTACCATCTCTGTGTAAAAAACAAAAAATGGCAAGACAAGGTAATGGCAATGCAAATCAAGTCTTTCTAATGTACAAGTCTTTTTTTTTATTTTGTCTAAGTTCATTATTTGAACTTAAAATTATGAAGCTAAAACATGGTGAATTATCGATTGTATTGTATTATAAACTATATTAGAGCATTAGGCAAAGCTTTAATAATTCCCAAGTTTTGCACCACTCATGAAAGTTTTGGACATGTTGACTGACCATGTTTTAAGATAATCTTCTGATGATAATAAAGCTATATCCCACATGAAACTAGATTTTAACTTTCTTCAGTGTGTCACAGTTGAAAGATTTGACATATCTCATCCTTCAATAACTAGTATAGAAGATACCTTTATTCAGGTAAATATTTCAAAATTTTCATGCAGGTAATGTAAATTAGTGAAATCCTAGTAAACTGGATGTGGGAAAGTGTGAAACATATACTTGATCCTCTAATGTTGACAAATTTTACAAACCACAACTATCTGCCAGAAATACATGTCTCCTGATAATTGTAATATTTTGCTTTCTCCGATTCTTTAGGTAACCTTCTGATGATAGTAGATTTGTCATCTGACATATGAAATTTGAGCAAATTCTTTTCATTTACAATTTTCGTTTTTGTTCTGCATTTAAATATTTTTTTCTTGTATGTTACTTTTAAGTACTCCTTTATAAAAATCACAGGTTTTTTCATAAATTTTATTCCTTTTTTTGTCAACATTACTGATTTTAAAACTCATCATCATTCAGTTCCTTTCAGTTTGTTTTCTCGTTTGAAATATGTATATATATTAAGGACAATGTATTTTTATAATTACAAAATCCACTCATTTTGTCATAACAGATCACTTTATATCTAAACAAAACTTGAAGCCAGTATGTTGAGTTTTATCTCTTTCTTGTTTATATTTTTAATTAACTATTAAAATATTATAAACTACCATGCAACTATACTTATATATATATATATATATATAAGTTACAATACAATTTACTTTTATAGGCTTTATTAATAAATTAGAAAAGCCAATGCTTGATTTTGTTACTACATTTAATATTTCTAGGTTATCAACCAAACAATCTGGGCAGTTGGTGTGTCAGCAAGTGTTGTAGGATTATCTGTGTTTGCCAAACTTCTGCATAACCACCCACATTGGCTTGAGGCTGCTTTGGAATCTTTGAACAAATTTAAATTAAGCATGCCTTTATTTCATAACTAAATATGTTCATAATAAGAGAAAACATCAACTGTTAGTGTTAATGAACTAAACTATCAAATATTTTTGACAGACCTACAAAATTTGAGCTGTAACATTTTCTAATTAAAATAATCTTATACATACATCTAAAATAATAATTTATACATTGAATTCAATCAGCTTTAAATGGATACACTCGGTTTTGTTCATTTGATGTAAAAATATATACTTATATAACTTTGTAATTCTTTTGAAAAACATTCAAGATTTGAAAAACTAAAAGACTTTATTTTGTAATGAACATATTGTCCTGCTATACATTTCGACCAGTGTTACCATGAGACATTTTATGCTGTATCATCTCTTCCTTAAATTACAGTTTTTACTTTAAAGAATTTATTAGTTATGAGTTATGCCTACAAGAGAATGGTTCAACTCACTGTGTCAGTACTAAATGATTTATACTAACAGTTACAGATCGTAGGGATTGGAATGTTGTTAAGAGCTGTATGGTAGTTCATATTAAATATGCTAATGTATGGAGTTATTTTTTGGATAATTATTTTTGCCTTATTGTTTTAACACCAAAAACATCCCATGAAATCTTTAGAAAATGCTGAAATACAAAAGAGATTGTGTTACATAGGTCATTATTTTTGATATGCTTTAATACTTAGTTTCGTTTACATCTTATCAAAACTTAACATTTTTACTTTAGAAATTACCAAGGTACTGTTAACCAGAAACTACAGTACAGCTTAATTTTCTAAATATCTCAATATTCTTGTTTGTTTAATTGTGTATTCTTGTGTACCATGTTTTAATGATTTTGACTTACTTGGAAATTTTAGTACAGTTATCATCATATAATATTTAAATTTTGTATATGAATAATAAACATTACTTACTGCAACCAAACAACCCACAGTGCTCCAGTGCTTTGGAAACGTTTATTTCTTTTTTTATTGAGCAAACTATCAATGAAATACCTAAACTAATTTTCAAAAATATGTCCAACTTTGCTTTTAAACAATCTCATTTTACTTTAAAAAGAAAGACTTATGAATAGGGTCATAATAGGTATGGTAATAAAACCTTTAGTTTTTCCTGTCTTTGAGGGTCAGAATCATGTAAAATAATTTCTTACTTACCTCAATAAACAACATTATACTTACTTAACTTACTGGCAGTCCTTCACAGCTGAGGATGATAGTCTTGCATGATGATTTTATCTGTGAGTCTGAAGATGTCTGATGAGGCCAATCTGAGGTCAACCAACTCTGTTGCAGCTTGAGCAGGTGTTTGTTAGTAGAATGAGTGGTCCTGGATTGGTGATCTGAGCCATGGCATTCTGTCAGACTCTTGTTGTCATTGTATGGTTTCAAAATGCTGAGATTCTTACAGCATACTCCTCCTCTATGCTAGGCAGTTCTGGACAACAGTCTCCCAACAATTGGTGTTGCACTTCTTCATCTTGGTCTTGAGGATATAATTGAGGCATTTTTTTCTGCTCTCTTCTGGTATGTATGCCATGACTGAGCTTAGAGAAAAAGAATCTGAAGTTGGACATACAGATGACATGGCCAGCCCAGCGAAGTTGATGTCATATGATCATCTCCTCAATGCCTATAGTGTTCACTTGCAAAGAGAATGCTAATATTAGTGCATCTGTCTTCTGACTGTACTTGAAAGATCTTCTGCATTCAGCTTTGTTGATACTGTTCCAGGATCTAGAGGTTTATCCTATGTTGTCCATGTCTCAGCTCCATAGAGTAAGATGAGAATCACAACTGCTTGATAAACCATGAGCTTGGTTTTGGATCTGATGTTGTGATCTTCAAACCCCTGTTTTCTCAAGCGACCAAAGGCTGCACCTGCACATTTAGGTGATGTTGGATTTCTTTATTAATGTCAGGTGTCTGTGAATAATGGCTTCTGAGGTATGTACAATACTCAACATTCTTAAAGTTTCCCATAAATCAGAATTGCCAGAGCTGAGAACTGCTCATTAGGAGCTTGATGATGGAAGATCTCAGTCTTCTGAGTGTTAAACACCAGTCCAGTTTTCTTGTATGCTTTGGTAAAGATGTCAACAATTGCCTGAAGGTCTGTTTCTGAGTGAACACACACTAAAGCACTATAACTGTATTGGAGCTTGACGACTGAAGTCAAGATGGTTCTGGATCTGAGGTTAAATAACTTACTCTCCATTTGGTAATTTAGTTCAATTCCAACTGAGAGCTTATCTAGTTTTAATCCAATTGAGTGACCTTCCGGGGGAGCTTTGCATTTTCTATTGATGGCAGTAATTTGTCAAATGACCTTATTGGCTTTTGCCAAGGCCTTCCAAACCTGATTCATTTTTGCTCTAAATTGCTGTACTTCTTTCTCAAATCATGAAAGTGAGCTTCAGGCATCTCTGAGTCTGGTTACCTTCATAATTATACAAGACCCAGTCCTCTGTCTACTTTACTGCTTTTCCTGGCAATACCCAGTTGTGTATTGAGATTTGGTTTAATGACAGATTATTGGTGGTATGGCTGGGAGATATACTCTTGGTCATTCATGACGTAAATGACAGGACTTCAAAGGTGGTGGTCTTGTAGCAGCTGATGTTGTGGCATCTTCATTTACCACCAAAACCCTTGCTGCAGGTGAAATAGTTATTGCTGATCTTTGCCTCACTGGTTCCAGCTTGGTGAAACCTCCCAGACACTTAGCTGGTCCTTAGCTCTAGAAAGGTCTTTTTAAGTTTTTGATATGTAGTTATCACAACAGTGTACACATTTGATGTCTGTGTCATGTTAAAAAATAGTCAACAAAATTTTATGCTTATAAAATATTTCCATCTGTATGATTGATAATATTCTACCATAACCAATAAAACACTAAGTAAACCAAATTTACATTTAATATGATATCCAAGCTTCTTTCTGTGAATTTTATCTACTATTGATAATTTCATCCATAGTTTGATTCAATCCAATTGAAATATCTTGCACTACACTTACCAAAAAAAACTAGGTAAAACTATATTTCTCTCAGGTGTAGTGTGAGTTCTTCTATTACTCCTATCTCTCCATGAAAATTACTACCTGTCATATATTTCAATGTCAAAACTGAAACTATTGTTTC